ATTAGATATCACACGCCTCCTTTTAATTAAGATTTTTATCTTGTTCAAGAAAGTTAAAGATTAATTTTATATGCATATCTACAAAATAGTCATTTATATTAACAAAAGTTTAAAGATGCACATACTTTTGTTCTGATTATATACTTTTCATTCAAATTTCTTATATTAAAATCAATTTAACTTTTATCACTTCTAAATAAAGGAAATACAGTGCTTAAAAATAGCATGCTTTAATTTACTGTCTATTCATAGATGAGGTGAGTTAATTGTTTTCCAACAATGTTCTAATCAGATACAGTAGTGAAGTTCAATGAAAAAAAATATTGGATTGATTAGGTGATAGCTTGTGGTTTGAGGGCATGCTATTTTCTACAGTATTTGTAATAGGTAATGGCATTTAGAATTGTTCCAAGTGAAATAATCAGCTCTCATGAGCAAAACCTTGTATTGCTGAATTGAGAAGGTGAATGGATTATCCACTATATATAATTATTCATTTAACACAATTTTAGAAGATGACAGGGCGATTGCTTATGCTTATGAATTGGAACCACTTAACATGACTGAAACTTGGCTTACCCCATACTTGAGAGTAAAAAAAAATATTGCCATGTCTTTGACAAAAACTTTTTCTTAACTGCATCCTCCACTGCAGGATGTAAAATGTTATAGATCCAGATATGGACATTCAGAAGCTACAAATCTATACAAAGTATAGATTTATGGAGGATGGGGGTGAGGAAAGAGTTATAGGAAGTTATCAAAAGTTTAATGAGGGGGTCCCCTGGTGGCGCAGGCAGTTGAGCACAGTGCTATGAAGGTGTCTGCAGCCTCCGCAGCGTGGGTTTGAGCCCGGCCAGCTGGAGAAATACCCACACGGTGCCGCAGACCTCTCCTGTCTCGTCCGCTGCTGCTCCCCTCAGCAGTGTATTTCAATCAATCTGCCTGTTCTGTTCCCTGCTCTGTCTCTGGTGAATCCTCCCAACCTCCTGCACATCTAGTCTGTACCCTGGTTCTTGTATGCACGAATAAATCTTAAAAAAAAAAAAAAAGTTTAATGATCTGATGTAAAAGAAATGTTGCATCATTGTTTGATTCAGGAACTACAAAACCCAGGATTAACACTGGATACTGCATGTTCTACTAAAAAAAAAGTTACTTAGCTATATAGATTTTCAGAAAACCCAAAGCCTTTAGTACTCATACTTTCACATACTCATATTTAAACTAATCCAAAAAATACATAGGCTTAGAAATTTTTACTTTGATGCAGGAATACCATTTCTGTTAAGGAAATAGTGCATAAAATAAAAAAATTTAATAGAATGACACCTATAGAGAAAACAAAGTGACACTAAATTAAACACTGAGCAATAATGGCTAATTATGTACATCCAAATCAACTAAATATTTAATCTTTAAAAGAACTGTATTTCCATTCTGCAAAAATCATGTCTTAAAATTGTTTTTTGTATTATCTTTCTGTTGAAGTAGCATTTGTTTACAACAATGTATATGATTCACACCTCTTCAGATGTATGTTACTACACCACACTCACCACCAAGGTTCCCATAGCACAACGAATACTATAGTTTACATAAAATTACAATTATGTTTCAAAGAATAGTGGGAGAAACTTCATGCATTCCTTCTACTTTAATTTTTGGAATTACTTTAATAAAGATTACTCTTAGAAGAAAGGAAAAATACTAAAATATTTGTAGACAATCACTACTTTATAATGACAGAAATATGAAAACTTTTGAGTTTTCAACTTCAATTTTGAGCCTGGTCTCTAATAATTGGTTTTTAATCTACCCACTGGTTGTGTAAAAGAGCAAAATATTTACAAAATTTACTAATTTCATTTAGTAAGTTACTTCAAACAGATAAATATGTATTCAATGAGGAGCTCTTAAAAATAGCTAAGCATCCATTAATGTAAAGGTGTCTTCCTGACCATCAGTTATACCCTCTTTCTTCGTCATTTGTCATTTTCTGAGCACATCAGTTTTAAGTCTTAGCGTCTAGCAAGACAAGTAAAAGAAGAGAGATTTAGAAGTTATCAATGTTGGTATGCATTTCTATTTAGACCATACAAAATTACACTATTTTTGGAGAGTCAATTTGGCATTCCCTATCAAAACAGATATATATGTACACATATGTACATATATGTACATATGTACACTTTGCATACATATCTGTTAATATTTAGAAATATATTTTGTGGGAATAATCATAAATAAAATATGTATAAGAATGTTTATCTTTGAATAATTTCTAGTATTGAAAAGTAAAAATAACTAATGGTGATTAATATGTTATTTAAATACAGTATATTTACCTACTTGATAGAATGTTTAACAGCTATTAAAATCACATTTAAAAATAAAATTAAATGTTAACCATTAAGAATGCAACTAAATGATGTGAGGAAATGGTCTTAAATTATTCTTAAATGTTACAAACCTATGTACGTACTTTACTTGCCATCTTTAAGAGTAAAGGATACATTTTTATTATAGAATGGAATTGGGAATTTATATATCAATTATTTACAATGTGAGAATACAGGATGATGAAATAGTGTTTGATTTCATATACAACTTTATTAATTTTAGAATTTTACACATTTATAGAGTATATATTATGGTAATCATAAATGGTTCATAGGAGAACTGCTTTGTTAGCTACATAAAAAAAACGACACACAAAGGAATATAAACTATTAAAATATTGTTTGTGTGAATAAACACAGGTATAGATTATATTTATTTAAGGATTGGCCTCTGGCTCACTAACAAAGTAGATTAATTTTAGCCACATTGCCAAAATATTCATAAATAATCATGCAGTCATGTTTATTTCTCAGTGAGGAAAACCACAAATGAGGTTTATTTCTCTGAAGTGCAACCAGAATAGATCAAAATGCTTTTTACTTCAATGAAAGCTTTGTTATAATCTCCATATAGAAAAGGAACAAAGTAAACACATCTGCTGAAGATGTTCTTTTGAACATTTCAGACACAATGAATTAGACTGCCTGTCAGATGGCTGTGATTGGGAGCAGCAGCTATTTCTTGCCAAGATTTACCAAGAAACTTTTGTTAGGTGCATAAATAATCTCAGTTCCTACAAGCTAGTATCATCACTCCATTAATTTCCAAACAATAACATATCACGTTTCTTAAAGACACTATTTCACTTCTTAATTTGTCAAATAGATTGTCTTCTGGGAATTGCATATAGAAAGACATGTTAGACAATTCCCCCTACCTTTAACTATATGTTAAAGATATTCGTAATTTGTAAGCAAGTTTGACCACCTGGAATACCGTTTCATGAATATAAGATACTGGAATTTAAAATTCAATAAGATGTCATTCTCAGCTTTAAGATTTGGAAGTATGATTTATATTTTGGTCAAATTATATATAACCATAATATTTATGATAGTGAAGTTCACAGTGAAATTTAAACAGGTAAAGTAAATTGTTAGTGAAGCTTCTGCTAGTTCACATTAAAAAAATAATACTCCTTTAATCTCACCTGCCCTTTACATATAGAATTACCAAAAATTTATTCATCTGTAAATACGTACATTTAGAACATAAATGAGATAATATTATACATTAATCTATAATCTATTTATTCAACTTAACGATATACTATGAAAATAAAAATCCACCTTCCACCGTGGAAATTATGTATGTTCCAAACTATTTCAGCTTTGATTAAAATTAAAATCATGAAAATTATATCAATATTACCAACCTTGGGCAAGTGTTAAATTTTAAGCTATTGGGTAAGACTTTGAGAATTCAAGGCATTGAGCTGCCTATATATCAACATTGTACAGATAATAACAAAAGTTTGAAAATATGCAGAACACTTGAAGGTTCTAAGAACACAAAAAAGCAGCCAAATTGCTCAGAATCAGATTTTACCACATCTATAATTACTTTTTTCTTATAAGAATGAGATTGATTTTTGGTTAGTTTATAAAACTCTCTCACAGAAGGCAATTATTCACAGTGCTTTATCTTTATGAACTGATTTTTTTTTTTTACCTGTGAGACTAGATGTTTATTTATTTGCTTTTGAAAGATGCTTTATTTTCTCATGAATATTTGTTACTAGCAATTATATTCAAATTGACTTATTAACCTTGTCATATTTAAGCCACTTACTGAGACTTTCACAGACTTTTTAAATAATTAAATAAAACTCTAAATGGTTAGCTTTCATTTGAAGTTTAGAGGAAAAATAACCTTTTAAACTTTTTATGAGAAAAACCATAAAAATATAACACAAACTGTCTTTGAGAACACATAAAAATCACTTTTAAATTTTTATTTTATTCTTTATATATTTTTATTATATTTTTATTATAATTTTATTTATTATAATTTTTGATTATATTCTGTCTACCTTTATCCTCTCTCTTAACTTCTTGACAATTCAGTTCTAATGCCAGTGTGTACTGGTGTTTATCTTTTTGTATTGTCATTATTATTTTTTGGTTCTGAGATTATTTTATGTGATTATATAGCTTAAATTTATGCTTATGGAGATACTCTTCTTAAAATGACTTTAAGTTGGTTATATGGATTGACTTCATAGGCATTAAATATAGGTTCTAAATTCCACAAGTTGGCACTTCTTTTTTTTTTTAAAGATTTATTTATTTATACAAGCAGTCAGAAGCACGGGAGGGTGAGAGAATTCACCAGAGCCAGAGCGGGGAGCACAGCAGGCAGAAGGACCGAAGTACACTACTGCTGAGGGGAGCAGTGGGCAGCAGGAGAGGTCTGCGCGCCATGTGGGACCCTCCTCTGGTGGCCGGGGAGCAGCCGGGGATTGAACTGGCGCTGCAGAGGCTGCGGGCAGCTTTGCAACCCAGCACTCAACCGCTGCGCCTTCGGGGAGGCCCAGTATTGGCACTTCTAAATACGATGGCAATGAAACAAAACCACAGAGAAAAGCCATCACTTACCTGAATGAGGAACATAGCTATGTGGTGAAATTCTCCACGCCCTCCTTGCTTAACAGGAACGGTCATAAAGAATTTGCTGCCATCTCTAGAGAATACAGGCTCCTCATTCTAAAAACAGAAGTGTATATATATCAACCTTAAAAGGGCATGTGAAATCTGTGTTGCTAGCTATTACTAATTCATCATTGGAATACACCAATTATTGATTTTGAATTAGTTCAGAAAACTGCTGAATTATTAAAAAAAGATGGAAAATGATTGTATTTTTAAAAGTGAACTTGATGCATTGTAAACTTGATGAGTGTTTCAATGGAGGGTTGGCTGAGGAGGTTTTGAATATTGAGTAAGAATGATTCACAAACTTAAGACACTTTAAATTGGCTCAATAAAGAATTTTCATATCTTATACAAGATATGGTTGTTTAGCAATTTATCCTTCAAGAACAAGAACTATATGAACACCTGCACCAATTTATAAAAAAATTAATACAGTAAATTTGATAATACAATATTTCACACATTTTCTGAAAATTTTCATTCAGCAAATCTACTGATTTGAAGATATACTTCTGATTATGTATTATAAATTTATTGAAAATGTACACTAAAAGCACAGAAACATAAACAATCCATTGCAAATGATATAATAATATATTCCATTCTTACTGCTCGTCCTTCCACAATTCCACAAACATAAATGTCCATTTGATGATTTCTTAAACTCTAGTTCATTAAAAAACAGAATATTTTTCAAAAGTAAAAGATAGAAGCTATACATATAGATTGCTTCTCTTGCTCCAGGGGAGAAATTAAAAAAATAGATTTACTAAAAGCAGTGGGTTCTTTTTGGGTGACTGGTAAGAGCGATTATACTGGTGGCACAGAAAGAATTTGATGTTATCCTTTTCAGGTCTTTAAAATGGCCTGTTTGGTTCTTTCTGAGGATCTAGTTCTCCTCCATTCTGATCAGATCTCCCTCCATTCTACTGTTTCCTCTTTATGTGTGTGTTCCTGTTCCAGGACCTTTGTATTTTTTTTTTTATTATTGTTGTTTAGCTACTTCTTTTATCCCTTCTTTACTCTACTCTGTCATCTATCAGTGAATTGTTTCTTAATTACCTCTTGTGAAGAGTTATCCAATTCTATCTGTATCACTCATCTCTTCTTTACTACTTCCAATTTTTTTCCATAGCACCTAACACCATCAAATACATATTTTAAGTATGTATGCATTTGTGCTAAATCTTACTTTTTTTTTTTTTTTTTACTTAAAATCATGCAACAGAAACCACTTACAAATATCAGTGGGTGAAGAAACTCTCCTAGTTAGGAAAGTTCGCCTCAAAGACTCTAAAAAGCAGCCTCCATTCATCCTTATCATGGCTTTCAATGCTTTCTATTACATGGTTGACTTCCTTTACTAGGCAAGTAATAATTAAACTAAGTTTTCAATTTTATTTTTTAACTCTATTGCCTAGGACACAGTAGGTGTCCAATTCATAATTATGGAATAGATAAATTGAATTTTTGTGTACAATGGGCAAAATATTGTTATATATGTAATATATATGTGTTATATATATTACATATATATATAAATAGTTTGTGTGTATGTAAAATGATTCTTCCTACCACATTTATTTCAAATTATTGCCTCCCTCATTTATTCACCAATCTCCTCTTGTGCTTGACTTCCGTAAAAAATAGATGTTATGGGAATATCTGAGTATTCTCATATTTATATTAGTTTCCCACCTCAAGCAATTTTAATTTCTTAAAATGGCTCAGTGAAGGAATAAATGTTGAATATAGTTTCAAATTCATTAAAGGTCTTGAAAATCTTCATCACAAGAAAATATCTGGCTATTAACATACTACTCTACACAGAGTCTTTCCTATAATCAAATAAAGTAAATGGAATCTATCTCAGTTTCCACATTCATAATCTTATGCAAATCCGTATCTATGACCCACAAGACAATGAATTGGGGAAAACAGAGTCTACCCTATGACTTAAGATATATTACAATGGTTACCCCAACTGTAAGAATCTTGAAAACTAGGCCAAACATGTCAAATTTCCTCTATTCCTACTGTTCAGAAAGTGACCATATGATGATAACATTAAATCTCTAATTGTCTTATAAATTTAATTCCATTAATAAAACCATTCTAATTTTTGAAATTTCATCAATTTCTAAGTATTTCATGACTTTTCCTTAGTGTTTCGCAATAAAAAGTCAATTGCGACAAATTAACAATTGTAATTTATTCCTAAATAATTGATAACTGGTTTTATTGCTTTAAAAAAGCTTCCATAACTTACATAAATTTGGGATTTAAATCTCAAGAGTCCACTAAAAATTATTAGAAACCATAAGTCAGTACAGTAACATGGCAGGCAACAAAATCAATATACAAAAATCAGTTGAGTTCCTATATGCAAACAATGAACTAAAAGAGAAAGATATCAAGGAAGCAATCCCAGTTATAATTGCATCTAAAAGAACTGAGATACCTATGGAGGTGAAATGAAGACCTACTCAAGGAAAATGAGATATTGATTGCTAAAAGTAATATAAGAAAACATGAAGAATGGAAACATAGTCCCTGCTAATAGATTAGAGAATTAACATTGTTAAATGGCCATCTTACCCAAAGGAATTTACAAATTCAATGTAATCACTATAAAAACTTCAGTAACAATCTTTAAAGAAGTTGAACAAACATTACTAAAATTTATATGAAGCCACAAAAGACCTCTTCTAAAGCAAAGCCAAAATGAATGAGGTTATTACACTCCCAGAATTCAAGCTATACTAAAAACTATTGTCATCAAAATAATATGCTATTAAAATGAAGTAGACACGCAGATCAATGCAATAAAATGAAGCTGCAGAAATATGATGCCACTTACATGGACAGTTATCTATGCCAAGGGAGTCAAGAGTAAACAATGGGAAAAAACAAAGTCTCTTCAACAAATGGTGTTGAGAAAACTAGACAGTCTATGCAAAATAATGCAACTTAGATGACTATTTCACACCACCCACAAAAATTAAATGGAAATTAGTTAAAGACTTGGATATAAGATCTGATTTCATAAGACACATAGAGGAAAATGTAAACAAAACAATTATATCGGTGTCAGTAATATCTGTGGTGTCAACTCCAACAAGGGAAACATAAGTAAAAATAAACAAGTGGCTCTATGTCAAAATAAAAAAGCTTATACATTGTGAAATGAAAGAAGCAATCACTAAATTGAAAAAAATATTCTACTGAATTGGAGAAGATATTTACACATCATACATCCAAGAAGGAGCTAATTCCAAGAATTACAAAGAGTTTATACTATTAAACAAGTTGATAAAACTAGCCAGATAACAAAGAAAAAAGGAGAAAAATAATAATCATAATTAAAAATGAAAGGGGAGAAATTACCACAGACTAATAGAAATACAAAGTATCATAGCACTTACTATGAACAAACAAATGCCAATAAATTCAGTAAAACTGCAGGACTTAAGCCATCTTGCTCAAATCATTCTAAAAATCCAGAAGGAGGGACTGGATTGGCCCCTAATACAGTTTTTGATGTCAACATTACTTTAAAAAAGAAACCAGATAAAGACAGCACAAGAAAACTATAGACCATAAAAATCTTTAAAATATTAGCAAATAGAACTCAACGATATTACAAATATTATACATCATGATTAAGTGGATTTATACCAGGGATAGAAAGACTTTTTAATATACATAAATGAATCAATGTAATAAATTACTTGATAATATTAGTACATAAACAGAAGGCACTTGATAAGATTCAGCACTCATTTATGATAAAAACCCTTAATATGATGTATACAGAAGAATTTAATATAATAAAGGCCATATACTATACATCAGTAGACAATATATTGAATAGTACTTAATGGTGAAAAACTGAAAGCTATCCCTTTAATATCAGGAATAAGACAAGGATGCCTAATGTCACTACTTCTATTTAATTTACTATTAGAGGTGTTAGCTAGAGCAATACCAAATGACAGGAAATGAAAGGATCCATGTTGGAAAAGATAAGTAAAACTGTCATTACTTGCAAACAGCATATAAGAAACCCCAAAGATACCACAAAAAATCATTAGTAGCAATAAATCAAGACTGAAAGTGGCAGGTTACAAACTATACAAAAATTTTCTGTACTTTCATATACAAACAACAAATGAGGAAAAAAGAGTAATTAAAAATAATTCCATTCATAAATGCTTCAAAAAGAATAATTATGAATTGACCTCTCTAAGGAGGTAAAGGATTTATAGCATGAAATTTATGAGACATTACTAAAGGATTTAGACAGTGACATTTGATTGTGGAAAGACATTCCATGCTCATGAAGGGAGAGTAGAATTGTAATCACAATCACTATTCTACCAACATTGATTCTAAATTTAACACAATTACCATAGAAATACCAGCAATGTTATTTTAAGAAATTGAAAAAAATATTAAAATTTATATGAAGTCATAAAAAGGCTTTAAGTCTTTTATGACTTGTCATTTCAGTAAAAACAATCTGAGGAAAAAGGGGAGATTATAAAGGCATCTTCATGCCTGACTTTATAATATAAAACAACAGTAACTAATGTGATAGGGTATGCTATAAAAACAGACACATGGATCAATGGAACAGAATCAAAAGATCAGAATGAAATTTGTGCATGTATCAATATTTAATTCATGATAAAGAGCCACACCATTCAATGGGAGAAAGGAGTTATTTTTAACAAATGGTGCTGGAAAACCTGATAGTCACATGGAAAAGAATCAATTTTGACTACTATATAATTACATGCAAAAAAATTAATTCAAAATGGATTGGATTGAAGACAGACATAAGACTTTCAACAATAAGACTTATGGATGAAAACATTGATGGCTTTCCATGGCATCAATGATAAAGATGTTTTTAGAGACTTGACCCCTATGACAATAGAAACAAAAGCAAAAATCAACGATTGGGATTATCTAAAATTAAAGAGATTTTACAGAGCAAATACATATCTATAAACATAGAGATTTATAGACATACATATAGATACATGTATATATCTACATATATACAACTACATATAGATATATAGACATGTAGATATAGATATGTAGATTATAAAGATATAACAAGTGAGATAAAATATTTACACATTACACAACTGACAGGACTCAATATCCAAGGTATATTAAAAAATCCAATTATTAAAAACAAACCATCCCAATAAAATATTGGCCATAGATCTAAACAGACAATTCACCAAAGAGGATACCTAGAAGGCCAACAGACCCATGGACAAATATTTATCCTTGCTTTTAATAAGGGAAATGCAAATCAAAATCACAATGGAATACCACCTCGCACTCATGAAAAAGGCACATATCTAAAAAAGCCCAACTGAAATACTGAAGTTGTAGAGAAAATGTAATCATATTAAACTATCTGGATTTACTCTAGAAAACTGGAAATGGAAACATCAAATGGCTGAGAAATCTCATTTTTGAGCACCTATCCAAAGAATATGAACCATCAACTCAAATATTATATAATCTACACTAATTATTCAGCATTACACTTACAATAGCTAGGATATGGAAACAACATAAATGTCCACTGATAAGAGGATTGGGTGTATCTGACTATTCAGTCATAAAGAAAAATTAAATGTTGCTACTTATAGCAAAATTGGAAGGAGTTTAAAGAGTTCAAGGGAATAATGTGTAGTAAAGCAAGCCAGAATTACAGACTAGTACTGGACATTTACACAATAGATAATCCAACAAAGTAAAATATTTATAAAACCAGTGGAAACTAAAAAACAAAGTAAAGTTTCTGCAGTTAAATGGAGGGTAAAGGATAAAATGGTCAAGTGGTTTAAGAAATGGAGGTGGGAAAAATTTAAATGAAGTAAATTAAAATGGTATTTCAAATGGTAAAATAAATGGTGAGGGACTTTATCTTAAAGTTAAATAACTTGACCAAATCAAATAACTATTAGGATATAGAAGTAGGACTCAACCCTGGTCTGTCTGACTCTAGTGTGTTTATAGCTCTACACTGTAATACATTTCATAAAGAGAGATTCCTACATTTAACAAGTATTTATGGTTTCCTCTTACCCAATTCTATGTTATGCATTTGTTTTTCTTTTTTTAAAATATACTTTTTTAAAAAAAAGATTTATTTATTCATGCATACTAGAATGGGGTATAGGCCAGATGTGCAGGAGGGTGAGAGGATTCACCAGAGACAGAGCCGGGAACAGAACAGGCAGATGGACTGAAATACACTGCTGAGGGGAGCAGCGGGTTTGACAGGAGAGGTCTGCGTGCCATGTGGGATTCTCGCCGGTGGCCTGGATCGAACCCGTGCTACAGAGGCTGCGGACAGCTTCACAGAGCTGCGCTCAACTGCCTGCACCACCCTGCATTTGCTTATCAACAAAAAGTGAATATCCATCCTGCCTTTGCTAAATTATTAAAAATCACAGAAATAATTGCCTAAATCTTACACAAAAGTTACACTTGACTTTGAAACTTTTATTGGGAAATGTGATTGTGTTATGGTATTTGGAGCAAAAAAAATTTTTTTTTTTTAAGATTTATACAAGAACCAGGGTATAGTCAGAAGCGCGGGAGGGTGAGAGAATCCACCAGAGCCAGAGTGGGGAACAGAACAGGCAGATCGATGAAATACACTACTGAGAGGAGCAGAGGGCATGGCAGGAGAGGTCTGCGTGTCATGTGGGACCCTTGCCGGTGGCCGGGGATTGAATCGGCGCTGCAGAGGCTGTGGGCAGCTTCGCAGCCCAGCGCTCAACCACTGCACCACCAGGAAGGCTCTGGAGTAAAGAACTTTTTAAGCAGGTAATTTAAACTGAGGTTTGAAAATGAAAAGCCTTCCAACAAACAAGTAGTTGAGAGAATTCTGTTCAGACAGAAGAGTCAATGCAAAGGCACTGTACAGATGAGGGCCAATGTGTCTGGAATGGCTGAAAGGACAGTGTGAAAGAGTTGGCAAAGTTTTCAATTTAATTCCTTATAGTCTGCTTAAGGATTTCGTTTTTACCCGAAGAACAAAAGGAGAGATAAATAATTTTTTTTTGTGAGAGTAGGAGTATAATGTGGACAGTGATAATCAAATATATATTTTGAAAACATCAATCAGCCTGCAAATGTGAACAGATTGACAGGTGCTTCAGGTGTTGAGGATTTCCAGTTAAGGAAAACTGCAGTACTTGTAACATGATCCTTGAGGGTGTTTGTGATGTGGACTAAAATAAACTGATTGGGATCTTTAAAAATTAAATGAAGGAAATTGGTGATAAGTCATATATATATACAAATAAGCGTTATGAAAGTATCAAGGATGACTACTAGGTTTATGATTTTAATAGTAGGATAGATAATTACGTCTTGCCTCTTATGACAATAAGACATAAGAATGAGGAGAGAGGGATGCGTTTGCTTTGGACCTGTGGAATGTCCAGTTATTTCTGCATATTTAGGAGGAGAGGCCAAGCATGAATTTGAATGTTTCAGAATCTAAGTAGTGCCTGGGGCTATACAGTTGGTGGTTTCATTGTGGCAATGGAAACCAAAGGTGTATGCCACCTAGGGAAAGGATATAAAAGATCACTGTAGAGAACGATACAAATCAAAGGCAAAACAAAATGAAACAAAACAGACACTTTCCTTTGCAACAAGTAGTGATGGAACTGGTAATAAAGTGGGTTCAAACATATTTGCATAATGTATGTGTGTTTCCTATTGAAATGTCCAGTATGATACTATGTTGTGGAGACATTTGAAAATTATTCTGTTGTGACCATCTGGATTGTAGTTTCATTTATGTTATAAGCTAGCGCTGTGAACTAGCATACATCTAAGGAAAGAAGTGTTTATTTGAATAATCTCCACATAACTACTTATATGAAGGTTTGGTCAATTTTCTAGGCAACTTGAAAAATTCTGAAGGTTTCTAGTTTTGGTGGGTCATAACATGTGTATTCTTTCATTTATACAAGTTTCTTTGTATGAATGATCCCCAAAGTGGACCCTGGTAGCTGTTCTGCAAGTTATGTGCTACAAAAGACATACGTAAACATGTCACACTTGATGAGACAGAAAATCCAAGTCAAAAACATGTTAATGGAAAAGATTCACTCAGTTCAACATAGCAAAGACTTAAGGTCATATTACTGAAATAACTTTTGAAAGTTATTACATACAAATAAGTGATGGTTTGGGCACAATGGCCAAAATATGACATTAAGAGACTATACTATACCTGCTTAGAAAGCCATGTATCTGATGTCATCTCATATTTCTGAAAGAAAACAATTAACGCCGTGAAGCATCTAAAGACCAAAATGAGCATGCATCAGTTTAACCTTTTTAAAAGCTGTTATCTATCAGATTTTTTTTCCTCTTTCCAGCTGGTAAAATACCACAAGAGGTACCATTGTCATTATTGATTTAAACTGAAGGAATAAGTAGTGAAGTGGGATTAAAAGATAATTTAAATGTAAAGTCTCTCCTTTAGTAAACTCCTTTAGAATTCCCAGTAGTATGTCACCAGGGATGGATCACTTTCCAGTTCAGTTTGATTACCTCATTCAGACTGTTTTGAATCACTAGACACTGTCTCTTTTCACCTCTAGGCATCATCAGGAAACAAAATTATTAAGTCCTTCAAAAGAACTGGGCAAATAGCCAGGAATAAAATTAAAGGATGGACATTCTTTCAATACTCAATCCACTCTTCATCAGTCATTTTTTCCCCCTTAGGGAAAGATAATTAAACATTTCATATGACAAAATTTCATGTTCCCTTAAAATATCTTGCAAAGAATCGGAACCAAAATCATATTTCAAAAGCAATGTTACACTAATTAATCTCAAGTTATGCATACATAAAATAAATTTTAGTAATATTGTTTTTCTGTTGTAGTGTATGAAGTATCTTATAATTTCTAAAAAATTCTATAATAAAGGTATCCAAATGAGGACAACAGAATCACCACACATTATAGATTTTACTGATATGCAGTTATACTCATTTCAAATTGTCAAAAATTACAATTTTTGTTTTATCAGCATTCCCTTCTAAGCCATTTTATAATTACATAATTAATTTTCAACTTACTCTTTTCATGTAGATTTAATAGATTTTATCTACATGCAGACATGAGGAAAATATTTAACTAAATATTTCTTTGATTTTCTATTCCTATCTCAGCAATAACACAGCCTTGATATCAACAGACACAAAATACATGTCAATGCCACTGTGCATTAGGATATGCTAGAATCCATGAGAATTGTTTCATGTGCAATTATTTGTTTCTTATTTAAATTTTAGCAGAAAGTACAGTCTTTTTTAACTACACAAATGGAAGAGAAAGAAAATAATCAAAAAGGTATCAAATCAAAAATATAACTGCATTCCAATATCTATTTTTTACTGAAACACTGAAATATAAACTTGCAGTTACCTATATACATAATCGTTGTATAGGAAAATGACTGGCTTTCACTAACTAGAAAAGCACACACCAATTTTTCAAAGACTTTGTGAGATACCTTAACAATTAATGGTTAAACCTTTTGATTCTGTACTTTTATTTTTTTGGGAGACTTTTGGTCCCTGTTTCAATTACTTGTTTGTAATTAGTCTGTTCAGATTTACTTTTTCTTCCCTATTCAGTTCCAAATGGTTGTATATTTCTAAGAATTTGTCAGTCTCTTCTAGATTGTTTAAGAAACTAGCATACAATATTCATAACAATCATTTATGGTCCTCTAAAGTTCTGAGATATCCATTGTAATTTATCCTCCTTTGTTTTTGATTCTATTTATATTTTCTCCTGTCTTTGTGAACCTAGCTAAGAGTTTGTTTATTTCATTTTTTTCAAAGAAGTAGCTTTAGGTGTCATTAATCTTTTGGAATATAATTTTTACTTCAATTTAATTTATTTCTGCTCTAATTTTTACTATTTCCTTCCTTCTACTGACTTGCTGGGGCACCCCTCTTCTGGATGTTATTCCTGGCATGTGTTATAATAGTCTGTTTTGTATCTATCTATCTATCTATCTATCTATCTATCTATCTATCTATCTATCTATCTAAAACTGTGGCAACCCTGGGGTATGTCTGTTTTACTTTCAGGAATTCTGGCTTTGTTCACCTGCAATCTAGCTGTGAGCATGCAGAGGAGAGGAGTCCCCCCACTTATCAATTGCTCTCTCTAACCACATTTAGTCATGATGCACATTCCCTAAATTGCTAGAGATGATACATATTTAAGGACTTTTTTTTGTATATATGTCCATGAGTGATAACAGTCTAAAATGTTATCACTTGAAATGTCCTTGTCTAGTTTTAGTATCAAGATTATATTTCCCTTATAAAGAGAATGAAAATTTATTTTCTCCACTTTTTGGAAAATGCTGGAGTGGTGGCATTTATTCTTTTTCTCATTACTATTGAGGCATAATTGACTTATAAGATTGTGACATGTTTACGTTGTATATTACAATAACTCAATATGCATATATATTTAGAATGATTATGACAATAAGTTTAGTTAACATTCATCACCTCATAATAAAAAAATTTTCCCTCAGAAAGAATTTTCAAATCTACCCTTTTAGGAATTTTCAAGTATACAATAGGGTACTGCTAACTATAGTCAGTCATCAATGTTGTACACTATACCCACCAAAACATTTTTATTTTCTATTTGGCCTTTGTACTTTTTAATCACTCAGCCCCACCCAATTCCTCCTGTCCCCAAACCCCCTTCTGGTAAACAAAAACCTAATCTCTGCTTCTGTGAAGTGAATTTGCTTTTGTGTTTCTGCTTAGATTTCATATAAAAGTTAGATCATACGGTATCTAAATACATCTGTTTTCACAACACAGTGGTTCACAAACCAAATGTTCCTGTTATTTCCAGTTAATTTAAGAACAGAGACATTATTTGTTACTTTAGAAGGCTAACCTGAACTATAGGAGAATCCAGGGGTCTCTGGAATGTGTTTAAAGGCAGCAAAGAAATAGTCAAAGTCTTCAAGTAGATGAAAGTTAAAATATGGAATGAAAGCACATACATGAAAATGGAAATAATATGGCTTGGACTACTGTTCATACTATATAAAAATCCATCATTAGAAGTATTTTTTTCTTTAAGTTCATTTTCATCTGCCTAAACATCTATATTTCCCATTTTAAAGACTGGAAGCTGTATAGATTAAAATACACACTTCTAATAGAATGACCCTTTTCTCACTACTTTTGAAAGTTTAATATTGAGGTCTTTGTACAAAGGATCGCCTGATTTCCTTTTGAGGGGTAGTATAAATGATTTCATTTTAAGCATAAAAGAGAAGCAAATTATACTCACTTTACTGCAAGCACCAGTAGTAGTCTCACAGACCGTGAGGATGGAGATGTTCTGAGGTCGGTTTAACCATCTGACCACCGTCTTGGTATTGCTTACCCATTTAACCATAGTGATATAGTATTCTCTAGTGTGAAGACAAAATTAAAATTTCCCTTTAGAGTCACAGAGCTTGTACAGTAAACAATAATATAAACTTGGTATCATATGTAAGAATAAATTAAATACCATAAATGTTACATTATATTGATTTTTGTGAATATATAAACATATCTGTTTTTCTAAATACTAGAAACTAAATATGAATATGTATGTATGCATATATTCATGTAAACACATGCACATATATGTACATGTTAAAATATACAGAAAATTTGAGGATAAATTTGAAAGCGAATGATTTTGAATAAAGGAAATCTTTGGAAAAATAAAAAACCAAGATGCTAGACATTTATGAATTGTTTGTTACTTTCTATTGATTAGTACTAACATGCAAAATAAGTATATGTTTTATAAGCTATATTAATTTTTACTGCTTTAAAATTGCAATTAACAATAAATTAACGGCCATAGCTTATTCTAGGTTTAATAATCATTTATTACTTATAACATTCATGTGATTTCATTTTATCTTTGGAGACTTGAACTACAAAGCTATGTAATATTTTCTCATTGGTCAAGAGCTAGCTACTCCCAGCTTTTTATTATTAATATTTTCTAAAATATTTTTTTCCTCATTTGAATCAGTTTAAAGCAAGTAAGCAATCATATTGAGGGGCTGGAGAACTACTCAATTTTAGTTACAGTGAGGATTCTAATTAGTGGGGACTATGGTGTCCTCAGACGGGTTTTGGATTGAAAAAGTTTATATATTTTTTCCTTATGTTTCTATTTTTTTTCATTGTAGAGTCTCTCTTTGGAAATTGATGTAATATACCATACCTCCCAACCTCAATGTACACAGAAAAAATGTATTCATCAATATCAATTTAATTAATGCTATAAAACACCTATAATCATTTTGCTCAGTTTCAGAATAGATTTCTTTGGAAAATGGCCTACAAAGTACTTAAATTACTTGAGCACTATCTTAAAGTTAATCCATACAGTTTTTACATGACTTAGAAAAAAATAACCTACAAGGAACAAAAAAAAACCTTCCTGATACAAATCACCTCCTAAGCGTATCTAAGCTAGACTTTCAGCTACATGAATCTTACATTTTTAACATTAGTGAATTCTCCAGAAAACCTGTTAGCCCATCCAAGTGAAGCTGTCAGTAAAAGGGCAAGTATAACTTGTCATACAATAAAGCTTGCAATAGTTTCTTCAACAATCTCTTCAAGACATCTGGCAGCTTTCACAACCAGCTGAGTCTCATTTGGAGATTGCCTGGAAACTCAGTGCATTTATAACACAAAGTTCCTTAAATAGAGTCAACGAGGCATATTTGGATGAAATATGCAACTGGTTTAGGATTAATCTTTGACCAAATCAACAGGTCTTGAAATTCTGTAAATAACGTTGTCCACTTCACTTTAGTGTGTGAAAGTGACTTATTTTGCATGTATTGTCATGTTTGGCAGTAAAAATATTAAAAACAGGAGATAATAGGTATTAAACTTTAATTGATTGCTTTATCCAGAGGATTTAGCATGGATGCAAGTGATCGTGGTTACCATTACCAATCAGGAAAATAAGTGCTGAATTATGACAACATGTATTTCTGGTTAATTAATATAATTACTTCACAAATGCAATAAAAACTTTGATTATTGTCAAAAAAAAAAAAAACTGACCAAAGACTGCAAAATCAGGGATGTCATATTCATGGAAAAATCTGGACAGAAATGTTATATAGAAAAATTTCATACCCAATAGGAAATTTATCTCAATTAACCACAGAAAGTAATACATTTTATGCCAAGTGAGATGACAAGCTAACACAAACAACTTTAAAATAAAAGAAAACAAAACAACAGTAACAATAAACAGTGCTTCAATGTTCATTTTAGAGTTTTCCCTTTTAAAGCAGTCCTCAAGAGAAATGTTGCAGTAAAATATCTTTGCAATGTCTCTACAGATATTAGCATAATATAGCTATTGCCTCTGATGGAAAATTAATTTTTTTAAAAAGGATATATTTTAAAAACATGTTTTAAAAACATTTTAAAAACAATTAAAAATCCAACCAGTGGCAATTTGGTGCATAAATGATTTTTTAATGAATTTTTAAAAACCCATAACTTAGGTATAATATTAAGTTGAAAACATTATTTATATTCATAGTACTTATGATTCTTTTATTAAGTAATGTGACTATTTTGTCTGTTTATACATTATGTCTCTTTGCATAAACAAATTTAGTCTTAAGTGATAAACTTTGTGTATGTATATATATACATACATTATATATATATATATATAAAATCATAATGATGAGAGTTCGTCCTAAAATTGAATTTATACAGTCTTTCAGGGATAATTTTAAAACAATGAAATGCCCAAATAAATTATTGAAGCTATCGAAAGTGAGTGTTAAAATAAACCTTGACACACAAGATGTGAGGAAAGATATAATCACTCACTAGTAAACCACACTCTGTATTCCTTTTTCCTTGTCCCAGGATCCTCAGTGCACATTTCCTTATGATTCATATCTACTTATTCAGTTTGCTCAAAGATTCAAACTTCCTCTGAATGAGGGATTAGGGAAGTGCCCTTACCTGGAAATGTCACACTCCTTGTCCTGCCTGCTGCAGATGTGGCGGTCCTCCTGGAACTCCATCTCATGAACACATTAGATCTGGTGTCCCACAACCAGTGGCCAGCAGAAGTGTCCCTTCCTTATAACTGGCTTTCCTGCTTGTTCCTTGTCTCCATGGCTCTGGATTACCCAGGAAGTCCTCGAGGATCTGGTCCTCTTGAGCCACAGAGACAGAGACAAGCAGGTTAGAGGGATTGCACTCAAGCCAAGAAAAACTTTCTACTAGCTGGGTGGTCTGGCACAAGAGATCTAATTGTTCATAAGGGCATGTGGAATGAAGGCCCCAGCATCACCAGCAGACAGGTATGTTAGAAGTCATACCTGTGATTCTACTGGCTTCCTTACCAATAGCTATTATCAGTTCAAAATAAAATCTTTATATACTTACAGCTACTCTGAGTTCATTCTTTTCCAGTAACCCAGGATCTCTGTCTCTAAGTGCACTGTGATAGCATTCATGACCAATTCATGGTTAGTGTCCTTCAAAGACCTTTGTCAATAGTTATGTATTTCTCATAAAAAGGGACATTTAGCACCCATAGACATTCAACTACACAAATCTTAAATTTCTAACATAAGTGTCTCCTTTAGAAAATCGTAGCATCCACATTTATGTCCAATGAACAGAGAAATTTATTGGTTAAATTTTCTTGGAAGACACAGATATTCCTTAGCAGAATAAGAGATGCAGACTAGACATACTTCAATGAAGGTAAAGGAAAGCACAGCAGTGTCACACACAGAGAAGGACGGAAAATATAATGTCACAATAACAATACAGTCTGAGAATTGAGGGTCACAAAGGTGGATGACTAAAAGAAAATTTAAATAAGTAAAATAATGTCAGGCACAGAGTAAGAAGAAATCAAAGACAAACAACTACCTTTACTCTTTAGTCTGGAGATGTCTAAACACAAAGGATAATCACTTCCACAAAACAATATGACAATTGCCTAGTCTGTGGGAAAAAATCTGCATAATTCACTATCATAACAAATCTTTTCACTAGAACTTAGATATATATTTTAAAATTCATACCTAAATTTCCCAATAAAGGCACTGAATGCTTGCAGTGCCTTACTCACAGTATAACAATTTGCAAAATGTGCCTTCCCATTGAGATGAGAAAAATCGTCTAACTCCTGCTGAGTCTGAGTATATTCAAAAAGGGCATTATCTTACTTAGTTCCTACCATGCGACATTCTAAAGAATCAACACAAACCATAATTCAAATAAAGATAAGAGTATGAAATGAATTAGTTTTGAAGGAAAGCTCTATTCATAATCTGGATTTGCTTAACTTTTGCTAAATCACAATTTTTAAAATGTGGGGGTATAAAGGTAGAAATTAGGAAAGAAATTTCTGTTTTTCTTTAGTCTATCTTAATGATTTAATTGCCTTTTATTTTTTATTATTATTATTTTTTTTAATAGAGGCATGTTTTTTATTTATTTATTTGTTTGTTTGTTTTGTTTATACATGCACTGGGTACAGTCAGAAGCGCGGGAGGGTGAGAGAATTCACCAGAGCCAGAGCGGGGAGCACAGCAGGCAGAAGGACCGAAGTACACTGCTGAGGGGAGCAGCGGGCGGCAGGAGAGGTCTGCGCGCCATGTGGGACCCTCCTCTGGTGGCTGGGGAGCAGCCGGGGATCGAACAGGCGCCGCCGAGGCTGCGGGCAGCTTCACAACCCAGCGCTCAACCGCTGCGCCACCGGGGAGGCCCTTAATTGCCTTTTAAAAACATTTACATTTATTAAAATGTATTTGCTCTTTGACTAAAGCATAACTACTGGTTAATGAAAGTTCTACCGAAAGATGAAAAGAGCTTGGGGCCTTTATTTTTGAAGATTTTTATTTATTTATTTTGTTTTTGGGCATGGGATAATTGGGTATAAACCAGAGGTATGAGGGTGTTTGTGAGAGGATTCATCAGGGACAGTTTGGGGAGCAGAACAGGTGGATTTACTGAAATACACTGTTAAGGGATGCAGTGGGCAAAACAGGAGAGGTCTGCTGTGCCATGTGGGTCAGCTTTGTGACCTGGGATCGAATTCACTCCATTGTGATGGGCCATTAGGTGACAGTGCTGAGACTTAATCCCTAGGCCACCAGGGAGGCCTGAGGCCTTTTACTATTATACTTTAAATACTAATTGTTATGAATACATACATACATACAAATACAAACCAACTAGCCCATCAATCAAATAAACAATCAACAAACTGATACACATGACTTAACAACTCAAGTTCAAAACAAATTCAGAGAATACAGTTTGTAAGTTGCTTTAAGTCTTAAGAGGGCATCTTTCTATATGCATGTTATTAATCTTCCTCCCTACATAGGTATGCACATATATATTCAATTATTATTGTCACCATTGTGATTGTATTAGAGAGAAGACTAAGATACATATAAAATTCATGCATACTAAAAAAAGGACAGAAAATGATAAAAGTTTATAATTACCCTGAGCAACTGAAATGGTTCACTTATTAACTATCATTTCACAGATCATCTGAATATAAAAATGTAGTATATGTTTATACAACAACTCAAAAACAAATAAACATGTAAACTATTATAAGGTAATTAATTATTTGGGTAGTCTGTTGAGAATTTAAGTATTCTCTCAGCTGTTAAATGTTATTTTTCTATGAACACAACATAAACTCCAGAAACAAGAGAACATATTTAATGGCCATAATTGGGCATGGAGAAGGTATGTTATTAGTAAATTAATTTACATTATGTTTATGTTTATACATTAGAAAATAAAAATGATTTGGTATTGTTTAGAATTAATGGGAATAGTGACACTAATAAATATAGGAATATTACTTCTAGTGCTATTACCAAAATTATTTATATATTTATAAATTTTAATTTTAAAAAATCAAAAATAATCTGAGTTAGATTTGAAAAATTTAAGAATAACATGATAAAGAAAATTAGGAAATGGCTAAAGGAAAATAAGTTGTAACAGGAATGAGGTGTTATCATGGATAAACCCATTGTCCAAAGTACACAAATGTAATCAGTTTAAAACACCACCAGTCATGGGAATTTTAAGGGGCCTCTACCTGAGAGGAGAAAGTATACATTGTAAAAAAATGAACAATGATGTTAAATGTAAATAAATAAATACAACTCTGTCACATGATTCATGTGAGTCATATGAGAAACAAATGGCAAGTTTTCAGTAGAAGCACAATTATTATGCAGATAAATCATAGATGTGTACGTGTGTGTGTGTGCAGAGAAAGAGGCTCAGCTCAAAAATATGCTCATGTACACATAAGCATACACACAGAGCTAGACACAGAATCAGAACGGTTTCAGTGTGGCTTCAGAAAAATCATTGCGTGTTCTTCTGGACATCACCAGCACATCCTTAAAGAACTAACACTGATAAACTTCTTATGAGAAACATTATTCTTCTTTCTGTTGAATATTTTTCATTTACTAGATCCTTTATCCAACTCCCTCCTCCCCACAACTTCCTGCAGATGGACTTCAGGATGACGTGGTCATTAGAAGGCCTTCTGAAGAGACTCAGCTCAACAGGAGCAAGAGTAAAGAGAGTTTATTCCGAGAAACCACTCCTTGCTAGAATTTGATTTGGCAATGACTGAGTTGCCCAATATTTCTTACTTGTCCAATCTACTTTTCAGCTCCAGTTGTCTTAAGGCTTCCTAAATGAGCCTGTCCCTTTTAACTCCAGGTCTGTAGCAGAACTTACATTCTGCTGTTGCAGTCTATGTTGCTTTTCCCTCCTTTGTGAGCTTTCCTGTAATCCAGCCATAACTTTTTTTTTTTTAATAGTTTCTTATGTAACAACATGTCCATTACCCTTCTTGAGTGTGTCATCTGCTAAATTTTCAGCATCCTGACCAACAAACTATGAAAAATGATGTACTCCTTTATATCTTAAGCATCTACTTAGTATGGACATAATAGTTTTCTTGCAAATTTCTACAAGGCCGGAGTACTAGGTGTTAAATATTGATGTCAGCAATATTGACAATCCTAAAACAAAGATAGGGGAAAAGAAGAGCTACTTTCTAGCTGATGTGTAGCGTGATGAACATAGTTTTCCTTGATTCACATGGTTACCTCTACTTTTTTCATGTTTATATTTCTAAGCCCATGCTAGTAAGACCTATGCAGAGAGTAGCTAAATGCAGATGACATAAAATTCATTGAATATCCTTTTCTATGAAATATATTAAAGCTTTCACTAGGCTTAGTGAAATGAGGAGATGCATTTCTGTTATACTGAAGCATGGAAAATATTTTAAAATATCAGCTTTGAAATAAATTTGGTCTTTAATCTTCCAGCAAAAAGAAGGATAGGAAAAGAGGTGATGGTTAAATCAGGAAAAAGCTGTTAATTGTATGGTGAAGGATGGGGTTGGAATTTTATTGCTAAACTTAATGCAGTATATATATATATATATATATATATTTAATGTTGCACTCTGGAAATATGTTTTATAATGCAACAGTGCATCAATTAAATAGGAAAAAATAAAATAAACATTTAATTTTATAATAAAAAAGTGTATCATATACTTTGGTACATCTCACATAGGTTAGCTGGCATTTAACTAAGACTGTGAGGCAGAAGAAGAAATATTATATATATTGAGTATGACTGTTCCCAAATCGTAGATCAAGTGTGTTGCTAAACTAACATAATTGGTTTACATATAAGTTTTTTTTCTTCACAGGATCCTTCCTTGCCATATTATTATTTACCATACTATTCTAAGTACTGGACTTCCAACATCTAAAGATATGTGATATCTTTGTGCAATGTATAATTGACTTTATCAGTTTGTAACTCAAATATGAAGGACACGCATACTTAATATACCAGGAAATGATAATTGATTCTGTCTTTAGAAAAAAAAAAATGATGACCATCTACTATATTTTAATGTTGAACTCATTAGAAGGAGTGTTTATGTTAGGTACAGAGGTGCCTTTGCAGTGTTAGCATTCTCTAAATTATTATTACTGTTTGAAACAGGAAAAATTCCCACACACTGGCCATCCAATCTGTCAAAAACCTCTTGATGAAAATTTCCCAAATTTCATCATGGAACAAGTGGAACAAATGAGATTTCTATTTGTATCATTCACCTGCATTGACTATTGATGCCATCAAAACGGGTTTTGAACATAGCTCCAAGTAATTAAATATAGTGTGAAACTATTTTTCCTAAATCAGCATCTATCCCACCTCTATAACTGCTAATACTTTTCAATGGGTTGAAATTTTTGATAGAATCAACCTGGAAATGTGAAACCACTCTGGATTCTAAAGTGCCACATGTTTCTTTGCTTAGTTGATCACTAATGGAGGATTGCTAATAATAAAATTATACTGCCACAAACTCAATTCAGACTTCTTAAATAAGAATGATTCTTATTTAGGATCATTTAAAACAAAGTCTCACATTAACTTTTTGCCTGGAGAAGAAAGCTAAGGAATCATTGGGAAGCTATGGTAGAAAGTTGAAAAAAAAAAAATCTATACAAAGCATAGGGATATCACATTCTTTCAAAGGCCAATATAATAGGTGGAGTAATTTTCCAGGAAGAAGACTCAATGGGAAATTATCTCTTACCCCAGTATCTCTGCAACATCTCCTACAAAAATGTCTAATTTTCAGTATCAGTATATTTAGTCATTTTGTTATGCTGCTAATCACCTTGAAACTTTAAATGTTTCCTATGAACAAGAGACCCAGAATGAGTTCATTCCTACACTAATGGTTTTATTTTCAAGTGGATTTGTTAAGCTGATCACATCTCTCTCTAAATTGCAACAAAATGATAATTGGAGTTAGAATATCTATTTCTCAGTAAAAGTGAAATTGAAATTGCATACCTTGATTTAAAACTGTCTGGTGGCATGAGTTCCAAAGTATGAGTTGGTCCATATAGGTTTACAACATATAATTTGATTGTTGGGTTCACTTGACCTGCCTTTGAGAAAATGAAAGTTGTTATGCAAAATACATTAAGTATTAAGATGTACTGAGAACAAAAGAAAATGCATTTTTATTCTTTTACAATTTTGTATTAGAATGGGTAAAAAAGTTTAATTTCTCTGAAGTAGAAATGATTCTATATTCAACAACCTGATTGCTTCCAATTGTTTTTGTAGATTGCTACCTCTCAAGCATTTTAGTCAGACAATTAAAGGTGATAGAAAATCATGATGACTTTATTCATTAGGCAGTGTTACTATGTTCTTTCCCTAGAATGACACCAGAGGGCTGGTTGTACAAAACAGCTAGTTGATCAAGCGTTATGCATGTTATAGGATAGAGAATGCAATGGGCAGAAAGCTTGGCTAATTAAAAGGGGGGAAAAAAAAGGAAGAAGAAAGAAAGTGAAATCTTTCTCTATTCAGGTGCCACATGCTTGAAATCCCACAATGCCTAACCTATCACACAACATTAATCATTCTAGATTTTCTAGGATGACTACTAGCAAGGGTATAAGTGACCCCTGAGAGGTGAATCATGGAGTTAATTGTCCTTACCACAAAGAGTAGAAAACATTATGAAAGACATGTAATTTGAATTTAGTAAATCAAAATTTATGAAATAACAATTAACCTGTAAAGTAGTTAGTATTTTTCTGGGTCATAGTGTATATCAAGGTTATTGCGTATCTTGTAAAATGTTCCTACTTTAGTCCTAAGATATAATTGTAACCATTTTCCAGACAAAAGTGGTCAAACTAAATATGTTGTGTAAACTGAAAATATTCAGTAACAAGGAGCCAGTATTTAAATCCAGGATGTTCTTAATTGCTATCATTTTGTTTCAGTTCATTTTCAGGTATTGTCCTCCAAATTTTTTTTCTGAATTTACTGTAAGCTCTTTGGGGACAGAAATGTGAACTTTCGCCAGCATCTCTCAAGCAATTTGGAATGACTGAATGCAAGCACACTTACCTGAATAAATGATTTACACAATCAGTTGATAATTAGTGGCTCTTTGTGATTCTAGAGATCATTAGGGTGTGACTGATGCTTTAAGATAAGACCACATGAGATGCAGAGAGGACAAGGGAATTAAAAGTGAGTTTAACTAGAAGATCTGACAAAAATGTGAAAAGAATGACAAAACTGATAACAAGGGAAAATCCAGTTCAAGCAAGGAATGGTCATTGACAAAACTCAGAAAATCAAGGCTGTATTGAGATACAGCAACAACTCTTCAGCATCCACTTTGCTGTTTATTTAAAATGATTACCATGAAGGGGTGGGGGAGGGATGAATGGGTGAAGCACAGAGGATTTGAGGGCAGTGAAAAACATTTTGTAGGAAACTATGATGATGGATTTACGTCATTATATAGTTCTCAAACCCAGACAATATACAACACCAAAAGTGAACTGTAATGTAAACTGAACTTTGGGCAATGATGACTTGTCAACACAGCCTCAAAGCTTGTGCTTGGTGGGAATGTTGATAATGGGGGAAGATGTACATGTGTGAGGGCAGGGAATATATGGCAAACCTCTGTGCCTTATGCTCAGTATTGCTGTAACTTGTACCTGTGCATCATCACTGATATCTCAATTAGCTTCAATGTGGAAACAAATTAAAAGTTGTTTACACACGTGGAGATGATGCACAAAAGGTAAACAACTCACCCAAACCAGGATAATTTCAGAAATTCAGCTGTCCAGCATTTTGTAATCTTAATTAGATTTGTATCTTTTCAGGGAGTTTTAAATTAAGTGCACATTGCAAGTTCATTTGTACCTTTTAATATTCAAATTGTTTCAATAATATGTAAATTGGAGTTCACCTATTTGCTTTTTACAGTGACATTTACTACAAAGACTGCAAATCCATAGAATCCTTCCTCTATGATTCTGAAACACAAGCCTCAATAATAATTAACCTTATTTTACTGGCAACTAAATTGTCATTAAGCAAGATAATGTTTTAATTAAGAAGATTAACCTGAGGTTACTGAGATAAAACTGTGTCTCTCTTTTTTGCTGAATTGCTAATGATAGGGTATTTTATGAGTTCTGAATCATGCTGAATTAAGTAAAATACAAATATATTTGTTTAGTGTAAGTATTTCATTAGTAAATCTGACCATATCGGGTATTTGCTGTACTCATTTTAATCTAGCTTAATTTGAAGCACAATTTAATATGAACTCTGTGCCTTTCTTCAAAGTCTAAAGTGTCACTTTTTGAAAGTTTATTGCGTAAGTAAAAGCAAATCCAAATAAAATATTTGTTGCTGGAAGAAATAACAAGCCTTTATTTTTAAAAATCAGAGTAAAATAATAAAGACATTGAAAATTCAAGTATTTACCCAACATGACACTAAAATTTATTCTGAGAAAACAGAATAAAACCCAGATCTAGTTTCTTTGAGTAAATGCCATGACCTCAGAACGAGGGATTTTTTTTTTTTCCCTCAGCTTTGACCATTAGGATATCTGTGCTATCTTTCTTTTCTTTTTTAAAGATTCACTTATTTATGCATATAAAAACTAAGAACGGGGGAACAGGCCAGAGGTATGGGGGGTGAAAGGATTCACCAGAGACAGAGTGGGGAACAGAACAGGCAGACTGAAATACACTATGAGGGGAGCAGTGGGTGATACAGGAGAGGTCTGCTGTGCCGTGTAGGTTAGCTCCCTGACTGGGGATCAAACTTGTGTTGCAGTGACTGCTGATAGCTTGATAGTGCTGAGACTTAATTTCTTGTGCCACCAGGGAGGCCCATGTGCTATCTTTATTTTCAATATTCCTCAATGGTGGTTACTAATGCATACATGGGACCCCCCCCATCATGTATTTCATATTTATGTATAGTAGGTGTGAGGCTGTCTAACAAAGCTACCCATGTAGACCCAAGTCATTAGCAGCAAATGGAGCAAACAGAGCTCTACATATTTGTTAAGCATAAAAAGATATTTTCATTTCAGATACATCTTTGGAGATACAAGTTAACCTCTGGTACTTTCATAGAAAGGGACAGAATCAATAAATATGAGTTATTTCCCTGTTCCTAAAATAACTGTGACTTTTGTAAAAGCACTTAACCTTTTAGAAATTCAATTTGTCCATTTGTGAAATAGAAGCAATTGTGAAAAGGACTGGATGAGAAACAAAAAAGGGAAAATGCTCTCTGAAAACACAAAGCATGCTATTAGCACACATGATTTATACAGTTAATAAACAAACATGATCATTACTTTATGTCTATCATTACTATGAGAAAAGGTTAAATATAATTATTACATTTAACAAAGTGTCTAGGTATGTCAACCTAGTATCTTCTGAATTACTGCTGACATATTTCAATTTTCTCAGGCATTTTTATTTTGTCCATGATTTTTGCCTATACCTTGTTAAAATAACAGGCCAGAGAGCACTCAAGTTCAAGCAGAAGAGTCCATAACTGAGAAGGGAACTTGCAGAGGTAGCCAATAGGTATGGCTCTTATGTGTGAGACACAATGTCCCCAGTTCCTCTTGGGAAAAGAATTATAAAAAGTTATGCTTTCCCTGGGGCTGATTTTATTCCCTTTGTGCAGAGCACAAACTGACTAGTATTTGTGCAATGGACCTCCTTTCTATTCACATTTGTTTTTCACATTATGAAACAAATTCATTTTGTACTTAAATTGTCAGGTGAACTTTCATTATCATAAGTCAATCAAATGATGTGAGAATTAATATATTTGAGAAGTCTTTTCAGCCTGTCTCTACAAAAATGATAGTGCTTTTCTTGGAGTATAATGAAATTCTCTTGGTGAATATGATTATTTTGTTGTTAGGCCAAATTGCCATTTTCTCCAGAAGAGCACTGACTACATATGTGCCTTCTAACCTATGTCCAGGAAAGAGCCTAAAAATAATATTTTAAAATCTTGGAATCAGATTCCTCTCAGTCCAGCTGTCCTTCCAAGCTATCATTCAGTCACTTTACAGTACAACCTGGGGAGGAAGCTAGGATGGGGAAGCCAGGCAGCACAGGTTTCATTGAAGAGATACTCTTCTCATTCTAGCCTCCACATTGAAGCCAGATAATTTGAGTTTGGTAAATGAGAGAAAAATATGGAAGGTAGGCGTGACTTCATCTTTATCTTGACATGCCTTCCTTGCATGTATAGATTATGTATGATGAGCAATTTGTCCAGTACTTTGTCCCATTTATGGAATACACACTTTGAAAAGGTACTAACAAATTGTGCTTAGAATCATAAAGTACAACTGATTAAATTCATGGCTTAAAAATGGCTTCTAAATGAAATCTGTAGTCATCTCTTACTTAACAGAGACCTAACAGTGGCATTTTAAAAGTCTCCTGTAGGACATCTTGACATGATTAATGTATAGGGTCTTCACTCATGAGCTTTTTTTTTTTTGGGGGGGGGGTAATATCACATGGGGAAGCTAATTTTAAAAAGATAATTTATATTTAAAAATGCCATGCAATAGAAAAATCAGTGCCTTTCAGATGATTTTGCAACCTGTTCCCAGGAGCCTCTCACAACACTTGAAAACAGTTTTGCTATCTGGACAGTATTTTCATGTTTGTCGTACTTGATAAAACAATTCCAATCTTAGGTATGGCTTCCTATGGCTCCATCCAAGCATTTTATAAAATATGTTCCAGAGTATGCTCTGCCAAAATAATACTGATGTTAATAATAATACTAGTAAATTTTTTATGCTTAGCCCACTCTTTATTGGTGATTTTTTATGCTTAGTCAATGTTTTATAGGAGATTTATACTACAGATTAACATATAGCATAAGTGCTTGAAGAAATCATCTGAAAGAAACTAGATTTATATTTTTATCTCAAAAAGTTAGATTTTTCTAAAAGAATTTCTAATTTATTCAACAATGAGAAATTTTCATCCCTTAAATCAGCTAATAACAACCAGAACACACAAAAAAATAGGAGAAAATAGAAAATACATTGGAGAAAACTTTGTTAAGGCATCAATTCTGCCTTTTATCTCCTCTCACCCTCTTTTCAACTGGGAAGGTAAGAGGAAATGAGAATGAGAACATTAAGAGGAAAGAAATGCAGCAAGAGTGCAAGTTCCCACTCCAGAACCAGCCATAATTCTTCCTACCCAAGCAGTGTGTAGACTACAGTAAACTCTAAATGATGAGTCTCTTGAAAAGTAAGGAAACCTTTTTTCTCCAAAAACAACAAATACCATCAATCAAGTCACTGGTGCAGAGAGCACGGAACAAAGCTGTACTTTCACATTGCTTACCTTAGGGTATGGATACTGCTTTCCCCTGGGATACAATGCTCCAGTAAACCGAGGGACAACCATGTTAGGCACCAAGGAATCATTTATCATCAGGAAGGCAAGTCTTTCTCCATCTGGTGACCACCAGTGGGCGATATGAGAATGGAGAAGTTCCTCTAGAATAAATGAGTGTTATTTGAAAGAAACTGTAGAGATGTGGGCTCAGTGACCCACAAACATCTGTCCTTGAAATCTCCATTGTATGTAATTTATTTCTAGCTAGGAGTTGGATTTTTATCAACTTCACTGATAAGTCTGTTCTTTCTAGTTATCCGTTTAATCCCAAGAAAATCAGAGGCAAAGGAAGGAAGAAATGAAGTAATGAAGTTAGAATTCATTGATTGTCAGCAATGCTAACAGAAAACATGAAAGCACTATTTGGGAATAGAATGGGAACAGTAATTTGAGACTGAAATATGGCACAAAAACACATTCATGTCATCAATCATTCATATTTACATTCAATCATATATCTATTCTCTCATCATTAAACATACTGAATACCTGCTAAGACTTATTGAACTATTTTGAACTCTAAGGAAATGCATTGTGAAATATACTGTATAAAATTATGAAATGTACTTTCACGTGACCGAGATCCACTACTCACTCTTCTATCCTTTCTTTTTAGTCCATAAAACTAATCTGCGTGAATTTCATTAAAAGGGTCCCCTATAGCCTCTCCAGCATTGCCATTATGGTATTTTGACATGAGATTAGAAGGAAAAGGTAAATCAGGGTATTTTTTTTTTTTTTTCATTTGACTTCATCCTAAAATGTTACCACAGGCCTGCTTTGTGTTTTAAATGTTGTCACTGACCCTCCTTCCTCTATACAATTCCATTCTTTTGTGTCTGGTAATGGCTCAACTCTCTGGTCATGGAGATGGTAATAACTTGGCTGCTACAGATCTAAATTATAGCTCTGTCCTTTAAATTTCCCCCACACCTTCACCTTTACAAATGGTTTCTTTGTAAATAAATCATGTTCAAAGCATTGGAAGTGCCAAGCCTTTCCTTTGGGGATGCTGACTGACACAATGATGAACCTCAGCAGTATACTCAGAAAACAGATCTTCAAAATTAGATTTTGAAATTTAGGTTGGAGATTATAGCTACATACATATATACATAAACACAAATTCATATGTATACCTATTCTTACATATCTATATAATATAATCCTATATCTATCTATGATATAATAATTATATTTCCAGGAGGGGTATGAGCACAGATAATTAATAACAAGGGAAGGTGTCATGAAATCAGTTGTTACTTGTGGTAACCCAATAAAATGTACATTGAACCAAAGGATTAAGAAGACAAATATTTATGGCATTTAGTTGCTAAAACAATGGCAACTATACAGATTAAATAGTGAAGTTCACCTGGTTCTTTTGACATGCTAGAGAGATTACATAGAGAGAAAAAGAAATTAAAATCATGATCATCTCTTGTTTTTTTTAGGACAGAGTTATTGGTGGAAAATGACTGGAACCTTCACACAGAGTAAGGATGTTTGTGCAAATATGTGCAGTATAATTTTGCTTTCTGCAACAGGCTCATACATAATACAATTTACAATGGAATACTGCTATATGTGTTTAATTTTATGGTTGGAGATGTTGAACCTCAAAATTCCCACAAGTTTTCTTACAGACAGAGGCAGCATGTGCCTTCTGCGTAAAAGTAGAGTGGAAAATGAATTTCCATGAAAGCTTAAGAGTTTGCACCCCTAAAAAAGAGCTTAGAGACCCACTGATCTGGAGTATCTTTTAAAGTGAGAAAAAACTTGTTGAGACTGCACTTGTGTAAAAGTAAAGAGGGACTGGCCTCTGAATTTTAAAGAACATAAACTGTATACATGTACTTTTTCTCACATTCACTGCCCTGCTTTTTTTCCCAACTAACTTCTACAGCTATTAGTTCTGAGTAGAAGCTGAGCAAGAGAGTGCTATGTGCCACATGAAGGCCATGGTACCACCTGCCTCACCATCTTTGCCTTGTGATCCAGCAGATTCAATGATAATGTAGAGTCCATGCAAACAGAGATGCTGTGTGGAGCCTGTGCCCTCAAGAGACATTAGAAACTTTAGAGAAAGGTCACTAATAGTCTTTATTTCTAAAGCAACTCTCTACCTGGCTACATGGGCTATCAGGTGACTATTACAGTCAATATTATCCATCATGAATGGATTGAGATCTGATTGTAGAACGAAACATATATAGTAACAGTTCAGGACAGAGTAAAAGTGATTATATGGAACTAGGCCAGAAAACACGAGTGTACTGACCACAGTATTGCATCCTCTACTTTATTCTCTACCATCACCTTATATCTGCACCTCAAGATGTGTTGTCTAATTTAAGTTAGTGGAGGTTGAAGAAATACAGGCCTGGTTTATGAATAGGTTTGCATGATGTATTGGAACAGGCTCTGTACTATAATCTGACTTGGGAGTGGCATTGAAGGACTAATAAATAAAAACTTTACTAGTTGGCAGAATTTATACCAAAATAATTTGTTCTCCATTCCTTGTAGAAGGAGACTTGGCTTTAAGTGCGCTATATCCAAACTCAACCACAGGGGATCAAATAATGGCTACCTGCTCAAGGATACTGGAAGAATAAAATTAGAAAATTAGTGACAAGGAACTTTAGGGAGGGGTAAGCGTATGGGTTTATCAGAAGGTATAAACATATGAAAATGTGAAGGTATTTATGTCCTACTAATGTCCACCAGAGGAGCCTTTCAGTAGCCAGATGGACAAGATGATTCCCAACTGCCTATCAATTTGTTTTTGGCACTTACTATTACCTGCAACAGTTGTGGTCATTGCAAAACCCTTGATTTAATGTTGTTTCCTAGGAGGATCAATGGACTACCTTGTGGTAGCTGGGTTATATAAAACACCTTCCATCAAGAAGGGGTAGCCTTTTTTTTTTTAAAGATTTATTTATGCAAACAAGAACTGGAGTACAGGCCAGAGGTGTGTGGGGGGGGGGGGCAGTGAGAGGATTCACCAGAGACACAGTGGGAAGGAGAACAGGTGGATTTACTGAAATATACTGTTGAGGGGTGTAGTGGGTGAGACGGGAGAGATCTACAGCACCATGTGGGTCACATGAGTTCAGGGATTGAACTCATGTTGCAGTGCTTGCTGATAGCTTGATAGCAGCGTCTTTAATCCCAGTGCCACCAGGGAGGCCCAAGAAGGTGTAGCCTTTTATCATTCCAGAGATAGATACATAATCTAGGACTAGATATACCTTCACTGACTGCATTCATATCAATGCTGCTATTCATGGACTTTGAGAAAAACTTATCCTTTACCATGATAACCCACACTAAGTCACCTCCAAACAGGAAATATTTTACAGCAAAAACAACAATGGATTCAGACACATGGAATGCATTTGTTTCATCATGATCCCCTTAGCTATATATACCTGGCTACCTGGCTTTTTATAAAAGTGAAATAGCCTTCTCTATCATAGTTTGGGCACTATTTCTATTTGTTTAACAATAACCTTGAAATTGGGGTGCCAACCTAAAGCATGCAAGTGTTTCTCTTACATAGCTTAGTTCTTACAAATGTGGAACTATAGGAGTAGAACTCTAATATTTTCTCATTATCAAAACAATAACCCACTGGACACATTTTGTTTCTTGTCCTTATTGTAATGAGCTTAATGGGTTTAAAATTCCTATTGCCCAAGGGAGGATTGTCTCAAATAAGGAATACAGTCATAATTCTGTTCCTCTGAATTGGAGTCTGAAATTTGTCTTTGGCCATTCTGGGTTCATTTTGACTGGGGAGAAAAAAAACAAACTGACAGCAAATATAGTCACTGTACTGGGTCTGATGATTAATCTCATCTGCCAGGAAGGAAATGTATCTTCACCATACAAAGCAGGGCAAGAAGGAACATATTTGGAACTCAGCAGGTTCACAAATAGTCCATTTCATTTTCCAATCCCACATTTCCACATTCTAATTTCCATTTCAATGGAAAATTGAAATTGTTACAATCTAATTAAGAAAAAGATGAAAAGGGATAAGATTTGGCAAAAATAAACTTTTGGACTGATCCATCTAGTAAATAACCTGTCTATTTAACATGCTGGCAGAAGGTAAAGTCAAAGAAATGTGCAGTTAAAGAAGAGAACTATGATTACCAATTATGGCCACATGATTTGCCTATTTTTTCCTTAATGGGGGTATTTTCCAAAAATCTTATATTAAAAAACCCAGATGCCAGTTTCAGATAGGTGTATAGCTGTACTAAAACCACCCTATGTTGAAACAGCATCATATGCAACTTTCTGTGTCCCTTTTTCAAGGAGATGGAATTTCATTTGAATAATAAGAATATTATACTTTATATCTGATTTCTTTATTGGGTATGGCCAATATGAAGCCAGGTGAATCAAACTGAGTGAAAAGGAGCTTGGCATATGTTCTTCATTTTGGCTCCCACTATTGAAATTATGGTTTTCAACCAAATTTCAGTTTCTTTTACTGTAAAAATGAAAGAATTTCCTTCTAGTCAGTTCTAGTAACAGCTACTTCTCTTCCCTAAATAGGAGTTGGTGGCTAACCAACACTAGCACCAAGCTGCTGCTTATTCTTTTTGGTATATAAAACTTTCAATACTACATTATATGTGGCATTTTGGCTAGTTGTGACCCTAACCCTGATTTATACAAATGACTTCTAATTCAGTTGCAGAAACACGAGTCGTCTCTATGACACGAAGGGAAAAGAAGCTAAATGTCAATTAAGTGTAAACTCTAAATTCTATGTGACTTGAAGGTACTGATCAATTGTGTTGGCCAAAGACAATGCTCAGGATTTCTAAGTGGACTCTATCCCAGGTCCTGAAGTATGTGTGCAAAAGAGCTTCAGAAGAATAAGTATGGCCCAGATTTGAGGTCACCATTCAATAGAGACTAGATGTCAACTATTCTCATTTACTGTAGAGTTATCTCTACCTAAAGTTTTCCCTGTGGAAATGCTAAACTAGGAAAATATATGGTACATGCAAAGAGTTATGACTTCCTTGAAATATAAAAGGAAATGAGAAGAAAATTAAAATGATCTTTAATGTGC